GACGAAATTTAGTATGCATGATTCTTAATATGTATAATAGAATTTTTTTAAAAAAATTCAATATGTACGTACACAGTACATAAAGAAATTTCCATAGCTATTTTGTGAAATCGATTTCAACATCAATGATAGGATATGAGCCATGTTGATCTAACTGAGCCAGGGTAGATACAATGGATCCTGTAACCCAAATAGAGAGAGGCCCATGCTCAAATGGAAGTTAAAATCCGTAATTGAAATGCAAGTGCATCATCTGTTTCAGCCCAAGCCTAAAGAATATTGTGATTTACTCTAAATGCAAAATTAACAAAATTGTTCATATGATCCAATAGAAATGAATCTTGAAATTTTGAAAAATTAACTGTTTAAATTTTTACATATTAATAAAAAAAAAAAAAAAAAAAAAATTTAAGTATATACTATGATTTAACCGACGGACGTATGTAAGCACGTACGTACAGTACATACCTGGTGCGTCATATCTGATATCAGATATGTATGTGCGTACGTAAGTACGTACGTGTGTGCATGGTCACGTTATTGCCACAAATAAAAAACTTATCCGTATCATACCTTTAAATTTATTTACACCCGATGCACAAGAAAATCAAAAATGATATTTGATACATATATACAATATGCGCACTTGAGGCATTTTTTATTGACCAAAAAAAAAAACCATTAATTTAAACATTGATTAATGTTTATTGTTTATTTTGATTATTTAAAAACGGTCAAGGATTGCTCTTTAAAGGGTTATTGGAACCGCATTTTTTTTAAATTTCTATTGGTTAAATCAAAATTTATAATTGAATTAAACGATTTGATAAGTTTAGGATAAGTGTGAAATATTGATTACAAGAATTGCAAATTGTTGATCGCCATCACATATTCTACATATTCTTTGTATTGCTCATATAAATTATACCCAATCTTGGTAACATGCAATATTCTTTGTACGACAGTCGGTCATGTAGCACCAAATTCCACGCATGCTCAAAAGAAGGTGTTGACTAGTCTGTTTCTCTTTACTTCTTGTCGTTAGAGTCCAAGAAGTTTTTAGAATTTCATTAAGGTCGTTATAAGGTGTTCATAAAGATAGATCCCGGCTTCAATATATATCATACTGGACAAACAAAGTAATCCAGCTATGCCGTCGGAACATTCCCGTTCTTCCTCGGACGCATCAGCAACCTCTGTTCCCACAATTAACATTAGACGTGCTCCTACTCCTCCTAATAATATTTCTAATCAGTCCAATCTAAATACCAACTCTAACAATGAACAACTTTTAGACGCCAGTGATGCACGCTCAAATGGTCAATCAAAAGATAGAAATCGTGATAAAAGCACTTCAAGAGACAGAAGTTCTTCACGAGGAAAAAGTCCCGGTCGAAAATCTGACAAACGAGGTAAAAGCTTGTCTCCTGGGCGCAAAAGTCCTTCGGGAGAGAAGCTTTTAAGTACTTCAAAAAATTCTAATAGATCTAGAAGTCCAAGTCCTCGTCCAAAAAGTCCCGGTCGTAGTAATTCGTCACGTTCAAAAAGTCCTCGTAATAATAATCATAATAGAGTAGGAAGTGATAATTCAAATAATAGATCTAATTCTCAGGATGCTCGTGTAGGATTAGGCAACAAAATTCTACATCCGTGGGTTGCCCCTTCTCTCAACTCAAACGGTGAAACGAACAATTCAAAGAGTGCGAATAGATTAAGTCTTCCAAACTTTACTGATAACGCTAGTCTAAATAACGCAATACGTGAAAGTAATGAACGATGGGCAAAATTAAATCTCGTCCAAGCTGAAAGCAAAGGAATGGGTAATTTTTCTAAACCTGCTAACAGCCTTCGAGTTGTCTCTACGCGTCCGAAACTTCATGTTGAGACTTTCAGTCATTTACTTGGAAGCAAAGCTATGCAAAGAACTCAATCGGGTCAACGTGTTGGAAAGAATAATGATTCTCCACTAGTGGTCGCTGGTCTTCCTTTGAATCGGTCTAGAAGTCATAACTCTGCTATGGATAGTAATAATACTTTACCTGCTTCATTTTTAAAAGAATTAGAAAAAAAGCATCCTCTTCAACATTCTTGGTATATATAAATTATTATTATTATTATTATAATTGATCCATATTTTTATTATTCATATTTTTATTAAAGTTTGGAATTACTGAATTGCTACTTTTTTTTGTTTTTTCTTAACAGGACAATGTACTATGATAGTAAACCAGTAATGACTCCCGGCCCTAAGACACCAACAGGAATGTTATCGTATGAAGAAAATTTACAGACTATTGGTACTTTCGACACGGTAATTATGATGTAATCGTTATTATCAATTTCTCTATATTTCTCTATTTTATCTTTATATCTTTATATTGATTATTTTGGCCTTTCTTTTTTCTTTATTTCTTTTTAAAAGGTCGAAACTTTTTGTAGATATTTTAATTGGGTAAAAAAACCCAGTCAACTGGAGTTGAATACGAACTTCCATATATTTAAAGATAAAATTAAACCAATGTGGGAAGATCCCGCTAATGCTAATGTATGAATTGCATTTATTATTATTCTGATTCAAATTTCAATCATTTATGCAAGCCCCTATCTTTTTAGGGTGGAAAATGGGTAATCTCTATGAGAAACCCCCCATTGCTCGATCGATGTTGGACTTGGCTCGTATGTGCGTTGGTTGGTGAAGAGTTAGATGAAAATGATGATATTTGTGGTGCCGGTACGTTTTAGATATTATTTATTTATTTATAGATTCTATGCATTTATTATATAATTATATTACTTTACTTTATATAGTAATGTCTCGCAGAATTAGAGGTGATCGTATTGCTGTATGGGTTAGAGATAAAGATAATGTTGGTGTAATTAACGGCATTGGGTATGTCAATAGAATCATATAGCATCATTTAGATTACATAATAATAATAATAATAGTTAATAATTATAATAATTTTTTACCAATCTTTAGCCGACGTTTATTAAAAATTCTCGATTTACAAAACGAAAAGGGAATCGGGATGGATTTTCAGGTAATTTTGGTTATTTCAATCTTATCTCAATTTTGTGCTTACATAATTTTATTTTCTGAAATCTTGTTTTACTAAATTTTTCCTCTAAATATTTTTTAGTTTAATGAAGATGCCTTGAAATCTGGTACATCATATAATAATCGTGTATACTTATCTCTTGAGAGTCTTAAACAAGAACTAGAAAATGAAGAAAGGGCTAGACTAGAAGAACTTGCTAAATCTGCAAAAAGACAAAGCATGACCCTTGATGACAGTAAAACTGATACTACTGTAACAACTCCAGATACAGTGGATCCCAATAAAGAATGCATCACCTGAATAAAAATTTTGAAACGTAAATATCTCGTGATGCAGAAGCCATTGCAACATAAGAAACCATTATTAGAATCATCATGTCGAATGTATTAAAATATATGAATTTTTTTTTATACAACAATAAAAGAAAAAAATTATTAATCGTTATTTGCCATTTTTGCGATGCATTTATTTTGATCGTTTTCTTTATTTCTATTTACTAAATATAAAAAAACAATCTGAATACAAAAATATTTGAATATATGGTTGTTCACCATCTAGTATAACCGCCTTTTGCTTTAATTATAAAACGTTTACACACATCTATTTCTAACTCAACCCAGGTCTTTTGAGCAGCTTTCTACAATTCATCCTCCGTTTCCATAACTTTATTCCTATTCAGGTAATGTTACTCGATGATTTCTAGAAAGTCTTCCTTCAAGATTTGATAGTACAAGGCACTATTCATGTTTCTATAAATGTGGCAAAAGTTGTTAACACTACTTGAGATAAAATATCCTTATATTATGAACATCATGATTTTATTACTTTCAAATTTTTAGTTAAGTGAACCTTATGATTTCTCAATGGTTTATTAAGTTTTTTTCAACAATATTTTTTATCATTAAACCCAAAAATTATAAACTTTATCTTGTTTAATTATATCATCTTATTTATTCAAAATTGGTATTTTTTAGTATACATTAAAGCTTGTATTTGGTTTCTTTAAACAGAAATGATTTTTTATATTTGATTTAGATATTTAATTTTTTATTTTTTTTTAATATTAATGGTGAGGCCATGCTTTTATCTTTATTGAATATTTAATTGAGATTATTACATAAAGTACTAATCTATTTTTAAAATATTATAAGAAGAATAGAGACTTAGACTAGTTTATTTGCAACCTAAACCAACTGAAGTGGCCAAGGCTCACCTAGTTTAATCTATTTCTATATATTTATATTTATGCTATATAACAAAATTTTTTTCTGTTTTTATGATTTTTGATTTTTGCTTTTTTTTACTTGAGTAATTGTATCAGTAACTTTACTTACTCTTTGGGGTCTCAGATATTAATCAGCACTAATAATAAATTTATAGCTTTGACATCATGTGGCTATTTCAAAGAGTGTTTATATATGACTAGCTGCATAGTTTAGTTGGTCTGACACAAGAACTAGCCCTCTTGATAAAGCACATCCAATCATTGCTCTACAATAGAATATTATCAACTTGATAATATTTTTTCATAAATAAAAGAAAAAAAAATTTTTTTAAAAAAAACATAGAGGTATAGAAGATAATGATAAAAGATACAAACAAGAAAGAAAAGAGGAAAAAAAGTTATAAAAAAGTAAGAATGTAAAAATTGTACCTATTATAGATAGTCACTATTATAAGTTTGTATTAGGTTGTAAAAATTACACGCTATTACAAAACTAGCTCAATTTTAAATTTATCTAATTAGTATATTTAAGCAAAAAATCAAAAAAGAAAAATATACTTTTTTAACTTAGAACTAGTGTTCGAAAATGGATTAAAAATTTTGGTTAATCTGGAATTGATCCAAATCTGATCTGAATCTGTAATTCAGATTGAATCCGGGAGTGATCTGTACCAATCTGATGGTTTGTCACATATATTTGTTACAATATAAGTAATAAATTCGAATCTATCACATAACAAATGTGAATTTATTACTTATATTGTGGTATAAGGTGTGATACATTCGAATTTATTATATGACAAATTCAAATTTATCATATAGAGTGATTATATAAAGACATGACTTAAAATTAGGCCCAATCCTGCTCAATCCGGGTTCAATCTGACATTTCAGGTGCCAAACTTAATCCGACGATTTGAATCTGCACAAATCTGAATCTGATCTGTGCTAACTTTTTTGAACACTATTTAGAACATTATAAAAAAATCAGAAATTCATAACCTAGGTCTTGTAGTATTGTATATTTAGCTTGTTATTGAGGTATATGCAATTTTTAATAGATTTGAACAAAGGTCTAAAGTATGTATTTGTTGCTTTATCCAAATTTAGAATAAACGATGTTAACTAATTATAGTAATAGAAATGTTGAGAAAATAACTTAAATTACATATTTTTTATAAAATTTCTTCAAAAAAGCTAAAAATTAATAAAAATATATGAGGTTCTTCTTGTAGATTTTACAGTTATATAGTACAGTTTCTTAGTATCTATTTGATATTCTTGCCCAAAAACTCTTGTTCTACTTATTCTCAGAATAAACTTTCTAATTTGAATGCCAAATACAATATATTAGAAAGTCTATTTAGATAAAAAATTTGACTTAAGACACAAACCTATCTAATATTCTTATATGCTTGCTTCTCAGTATTTTACATATTGTAGGCTTCATTAACAATAAGTTTGTTTGTACAAAACTAAGGATATTATGTGTTTACTTAGTCTTTTTCTATATAATTTACTGTAGTTTAGTTAATTTGTTGTTAACTAAAAAATCATTAAAAAAAGTTATATAATAGTGTGTCTAGTACTGTATATTATAAGTAGATTTTTGAATATTAATAATAATGATATATTTTTTTAATATAATATAATATTGTTTGTTTTATACCTCTTTTTGATAATCACTTATACCAAACTTATAATTAATAAAACAGAACTTGTTGATAAAAAGTAGAAAAGATAACTATACAAGTAACAACTTTTATAAAGATTAAGGTTCTTTTGTTTACTAAACTCTTTATATATTTAGCAAGCAAATTAAAAGTATTTTTACACAGAATAATTAGCAAGAAGATAATGTTCTTGTACAAAAAATTTTAATAAAAGTATAAGTTTCTGTTAACAAAATAAAAGATAATTAATTTAAAAAAAAATAATAAGTAAGTTTTCAATATTTCTTTTATAAAGTTCAAGGTTATTTATAAATTAAAAATTGTTTTAACACCTTATTTATAGCATATTATGAAATTTCATAAAAAAATAAAAAATTTAGCATATTTTATCAAAAAATCAATATTAACAATTATTGTCAAAAAGAAATATATATACAGTACATGTATATATATTTACTTTGAAATAAATAATATACAATCATTTTTCTATCTCTATTATTGTAGTTTGATATCAAGTTTTGGTCAAATTAGACTTGTGGCCTAGAATAATAAGAATTTTAAACAATATATATTATAGAAGTTTTATTATTATAAAAGAAAGTTAATACTAATATAGTATATAATATTAGCTAATAATTAAAGAATTTAAACTTTTGGTAAATAAAAAGTCTAAAAAAAAGTAAAGAACTATTGAAACTAATTATATATAAACTTTTTAAATTAGATATACTATTTATTTTGTTAGATAGCTAGTAGTTATAAATGATTATCAAAAAGAGGTATAAAACAAACAATATTATATTATATTAAAAAAATATATCATTATTATTAACAAAGTTAAAATATGCCAAATTAATAAAAAAATATTACTATTTGTTTATAATAGCTAAACAAAAGATAGATGTGGCAACTTAATATAGTTGGTAAGTTGTTGCATCTTCAAGTAACAGAACAAGAGTTTGAATCTTACTGACAATAAAATTTAAATTTTATAGAATATATTATAGCAGACTATATATAATTTGACAGGTTTGTACTTATAACTTTGATTGTATCAGCTTGT